CCAACGGTAAAAAAAACTTGCTAAGGAACGTTAAAAAAATTCCTTGGCAACGTTAAAAAGGTCCTTAGCAACATAAAAAATCCTTAGCAACGTTAAAAAATTCCTTAGATAAGTTGAGAAATTGGTTAGAAAAGTTAAAAAATAGCTTAGCAACTTTTATAGAACTAATTCGATTAAAATAATCATTGACAACATTTGGAAATTCTTATCAAACGTACCTAGTAGTCGCTAAAGTTCTGTTATAAGAACTCGCTGTAACGAACCCAGTTTATCGAATTTCGAAAAACTAATTACATCACTGAAAAGCCAATGAAATTGTGTATAAGAAACATGATTTACTTTTTAAAGTGTCAATCTTATAAGGCAGGACGAGCCAGGCGTCTTGGTATCCACCACTCTATCGCATTACTCACGCACTCCCGAGAAAATTGGCCCCATATCCTGACGAAAGAATTCTTTTATGGATTCCAAGCTTGTGTGAGGTTTAGCACATACAAATAATAGGTAGTGGTTCCGTGGTTCGACAATTCGCTCGAGAACTTTAACAAATAATTTCTGACACGAAATTTCACCCCCTTACTAAGAAAAATCACTTTTTCGACAAAATCCAACTTAAGTCCAATTAAGTCCAAAAAAATCATAAAGCAGGATGGTAGGTCCCATCAAAATTCTTGAAATTATTATGAATATTATAGACTGGTGGGGTGAAAATGCGGTAGTTTTGCAATTTTATTTGGCCTCACCCATAAAGGTGGGCTCATTCTTTTTAAATATCCGTTTCCATTTTTCAAACGCGTACCGCATGATCAGCGTCCGGCTTCTGATGGGTCTGTTTATACTTGGCGTGCAGTTAGGAAGTTCTTCAGGTCTTGAAGACATAAGTCTAGGGTTTAGTTTAAGGGCATGAGACTTACTTGGACTAGAACCGTTCATTTGCGAGGGACATTTTCTTAGGACTCCGCATGGATTCGGGCGAATCCAGTTTTTTCGCGCCTTGGTGAATTTTGGTGACCTTTGAAATCATTCTCTTCCACTTCTTTTGCGGTTATCCACACTGCCAGTGTCAGTGGATCATTTTATGCTACCGCCGACCACCTTCCAATTACATAATTCCGATTTTTGTTGAGCAATTGTGTTACTCCACGAGTTATGGTAATGGACCTCATGTCGAAAATCGATTTTTTCGAAATCCTTCAAGTATCTGTTAGAGGACCTTAAAATATGCAGAAAAATCATTTTCCCCGAATTTTTGAAGTTTCAATAGGGCTGATAGGAGGGGGTGTGGCTTCCGTTGAGATACCACCTGTACGCAGCCGCTATTTCACGCAGGGACTCAAAATTTCACATGTGGGTACCATGGGCCAATACAATTGCGGGTCTTTTTCTCTTTTTTTGAAATTAGGTCACGATGACCGTTTTCAGGTCAAAATTTACCGCATGTCAAATGAGTATGAAAACTTCAGGTCGCACATAACCCCACAAATGGGGTATCATTGGAAAGGTCTCGGCAAGAGGATTAAGAATATATCTACTTTATGAGGTCTGGGACCACTCCCTGGAGTTCCAGAGGCAGAACAATATTTTTGAGTTTTTTCCATCTATTTCTATGTTAGCTCTCCTATCTGCCGCTGTGTTAAAATCTGGGAAATTGAAAATCCTCATTTTTCTGCCAGAGGATGGTCATACACCCTACAAAGTATATATATTCTGAATCCTCTTGCCAAGACCTTTCCAATGATGCCCCATTTACGGGGCTATATGAGACGATTTACAAAAAATTAGATATTATGCACATTTTGACCTAAAAACGGTCACTATGACCTAATTTCAAAAAAAGACAAAAAGACCCGCAATTGTATTGGCCCATGGTCCCCACATGTGAAATTTTGAGTCCCTGCGTGCTATAGCGGCTGCGTAAAGGTGGTATCTCAACGGAAGCCATACCCCCTCCTATCAGCCCTATTGAAACTTCACAACTTCGGGGAAACTGATTTTTCTGTATATTTTAAGGTCCTCTAACACATACTTGAAGGATTTCAAAAAAATCGATTTTAGACATCAGGTCCATTACCATTTCTCGTGGAGTAACCCAATTGGAAAATGTCGAATTTTTTTGTTCACTCAAACATTGCTGTAAAATTTAAACACGCCAGTTGTTGGCTAAGCCTTTTATGATACCGTTTCTGAATTACATTTGCTGTTGATTTATTCTGGAATTATAATTCAGATAGATATTTGTATATTGCTCCGGTTCTGCCTTTCTTTAATTCGTTTCATATATTTATCAAAAACTGTAAATGTGACCCGTCTTTAGGGCGGGCTTACCGGCTAGTACATAAATAACAGCATGATACTAATAGGTAAAAGGCTTTCAAATACTTATGCCATCTGGTAAAAAGACACCAAAAATGTATAAAAACGGTGAAAGGGAATTTAAAAAGACATCACAACTAGCAAAATGACAGCCTTTTTGTACATACTGTATTTAATAGCCAAATAAAAATTATAATTTGCCCGTATTTTTGCCCGGGAAATTTCGCGAGCGCCGAAGGCGCCAGCGGCTTAGGAAACCTTTGAGGTTGTCCCCCCGGCGAAAATCATCTTCCGCCGCGCCTGGACTCTATGCTGAATAAATCGTTTTAAAAAGTGAAAAGTTTTATGCCACTATTTTCCAATAGTGGAAGACTTCCTTCGACAAATATTGACACCTCTACATACCTACCAATACAACATTTTTTCAGCCTCTCTCGGCACGTAAAGGACCCGATTTCTGCAATGTTTGAAGACTTGTATGTCCATCATCTCCGTCGGATTGTCTATGTCACAAGACGGAGCTTTTTTAACCAAGCTGGTTTTCTTTCGTGGGATGAGAAAATGAAGAGGGCAACCCGATTGAAGAATGGGCGGGAATATCGTCTTTTTCAAATATTCTATGCCTCATACACTTTCCCATACTTACCACTTGCAATGTTTCAATGTTTAAAACTTACCATGGAAGAAGGCCAACACGACAAACAAACCATCCTCCTGGCCTACGTCTTTGCCCTATTCACATGGGCATTTGTACCGTACAGTTGGTTACTAATGAGGTATTCGAGAACGTGTGAACTTATCCAGGTTGCCGAGGCAACATTAAACTTGGATAAACAATTTACAGGTGCATACAACTTAATACTTTAGTTAACTAACCATTTTGAAAAATGTGATACCCTCCCAACATAGATACAGTCTACACGGAAAACTACTCGATTGAGGCTGACATCAACATTACAGTATTGCAAATTAAACGTTGGTCAAAAAATGTCTACTACTGGTTTGACTATCTTATGCCTCTTATGGCTTTGTTAGCCAGTTTCTCCGAATCAAATCCAAATTTTGGTATTTTTGTGCGAACTCGTCGCTACTTCATGCCAGGTCCAGTAGATGTTCTTCATCATTATGTGGGGTTGTTTGTAATTGGCTGTATCACATGGGTAGGGTCGTGGACCATGTTTGCCGGGTTGGGATCCAGTATACTAATAACGGGGTTTGGACTTGCGTTTGTGCACGGATGGATGAAATTCCTGGTTCCCGACAGGTACTACGGTAATCTTCGCGGTGGGTTGGGTTTCGAACAGGGAATTAAAATGTACAAAAGTATCATTAGCATAATTCACTTTCAACTGGCCCGCAAATGCCTGACAACTTGCATGCACCATTTCTATCTTGTCATATGTTGCAGTATGGGCGTATGGGTGTTGATCAAACAGATTGTTGATAAAGAGGGGTTCTCAGTTTTCTTATCTGTTGGGTCTTTTGCTATTGTTGGTGTTCTATTTTTCTTCGAATGGTTCGTAGTTAACTTTATCTCAATGGCGGCCACAGGATCTAAGGAGTTTCTATATCGGCTACAGAAAAACAATGAGAAGAGTAAATACAGAAGAAAGGTATTGAAAGCACTTTTGCCAAATTCGATAAATCTGGAAATGATTGGCTCAGTAGACACCATAAGGTATGGAATTCAAAGAAATTACTTTCTTAATTTTGGATCAAGAGTTGCAGACTGCACCATTCGGTTGTTGCTTGCAAAGAGTAAGAGTGACGTATTTTTTAGTTAATTATCTAACTAGATAGACTCGCATTTTGATAAAATAAGTATCTTTATTTGGAAAATTGTAATCGAAATGCTTTCCTGCTTTTTAGCTGTGCTGTTTACATATTTACCGATAAAGGGGATTAATTATTCAATCTTCATCACTTTGTACGCTAATGTAGGAATTCAGTTTCAATGACACATACATATATGTCCAGCAATTAAATTTAAGGAGTAATTACAATTACTTCATAAAAAACTTATTAATTTGGAATTACTAATGTGTAATTGACTTTTAATTAAGGGTTTCCGAAGAACAGACTTCTTTGGTTTCAAATTTAAGTGTTTTTAGCTTCCAATATATTTTTAAAAGTTACATATGTTACTGCATGTTATTATAATATAAGATTGGGATGATTCAATCCCTAACCCGGAGCTCAGGTTTTGAAGATATTTGTTAACATTGGATTAGGCAACTCATCGACCGTGACGTCACAAATCTAAAAAGCTGCTAATTTTATCCATTTCTTCTTTCTGGAAATGTATTTCAAAATTGTATTCAGATCGATTTGTAGACCAGGTTAGCAACAATTTATAAAAATTATAGACTCTAGATTTTGAGACGTTTTGAAGGAGGAGGCCCAAAAAGTGTTTTTTTTCAAATCAGATGTCAAATTATTTTAATGAACGAATAGCTAAGCTGTTCGTACTTTAACTTTAAAAGTTAACTGTTCTTTGATTGATTTTAGTTAATTAAAAATTTTATGCGCATGTTCAGAAATTTTTGAAGCTATTTATGCATATTAAGCCAAAAATGAATATTTCTATTTTTGCATCTTCACTAAATTTTTTTTAAATTAATCAAATTGTTGATTAATTGGTATTTACAATAAATCAATTATTAAATTGATCAAATTGATTTTAATGAAAATTATTTTTTTGATGTTTGTTTTTTTAATTTTTTTGAGCGCCTTGTTATTTTCTTTGGTTTCATATCATGCATGTAGAAATATTAATCGTATCAATTAAACTTCTAGATTTTAACAAAATCACACACATATTTCAATTTACATTTTTGCAAACTTCGACGCCAAATTGTTTGAATTAGTAAATTACACATGTCAACGTAAAAATTACTAACTAAATTATGTACACTTTTTATAATATAAATACATAATTGTCACGATTCTGTTTCCTTTCTACTGGCCTAGAAAACTCTGGTAGTTTGACACCTTCGCATAAACTCCGGGATAATCTGGGGAACAAAGTTAGCCAAATATTTACGTCTTTAGCTTTAAGAACATAAAGGGCGTTGATTTAATTTGCCCCGATTTGTTCCTTGAATATTTGAAAACGGTAAAAATTACTTTCTGCAATTTAAATGTACTAATCTATAACGCTAGTAACGCATTAATTTTTATTTTGTGCCAATTTTATCAAATTTGTGTCAGATATCCAAAAATCAATCAGGACTCATTAATTCAACACCCTTTAGAATGTCAAGTTTGCAAGTCTTACTTGGATGAGCGCAGCCATAACCCCAACTCGCAATTCCATATGCTACCCCATTAACTACGAGGGCACCTCCGGAATCCCCCTGAATTTAATAAATTTATCAACATATAATCCTTAACTCAATCAACTGTAATGAACACTCTAAATAAAAATCTTAATACACCCCCTCCAATCACCCCCATCGAAACCTAAAAAATTCGGGAATAGTAATTTTTCCGTATATTTTAAGGTCCTCCAGGACATATGTATGTACGTGAAGGATTTCAAAAAAATCTATTTTTAACATCACCTCCATTACCATCAAAACTCATGGAGTAACCCTTATAAATTTCAATTGTTACTAGAGGTCATCCATATATTATGTCATCAAAAATTCTCGATTTTAATACCCACCCTCCCAACGTAAACATTAAGGGCTAGGGAATTTTAGCATGGAAACCTAAACCCCCACCCACCCACTAAAATGATGCCGTAATATATGGACGTCCCCTAATATGCAATATAATTTGCGTGATATGTAAATATCCAAATTTCATGTCAAAACGACTTGGATTTGGTTCATAAGGAAGGGATGTGTATGTGAAAAAATGATGATATTTATGTAAGTCCCTCAGAGCTACCCTTTTGGCACGTGGATTTTATTTGGAACACATTCTTTGTATTATATAGACCCACTACTGTGCATGCAAAATTTACAAATATAAATGTTCGAAGGGAGCAAAAAAACCTTCATTTCGCACCTGACATCCATCAACTCCTTGTCCACCGGCACAGAACATGTTATCAGTTATGGTCTGCCTTCCATACGCAGCTCGGCAGTCGCTCATCGAGTCAATTTTGACCTGAACCACTTGAAGTTGATTAGGCGATATGCCACCCGAGGAAGTGTGGCCTGCGGACAAAAACCAAAGTTTTCGACATTATTTTTATACTTTAAGCCGGTTTCTTGATCAAAGTTTATAATCTCCAGTACTATGTACAGCGTGACAATTAAATTTGTAACCCATTGACACCATATATGTCGTCATACCTGTTCACTTTCATTCATTTGACGGATTATGCTAGTGAATGAAAATGACCGAAATAATCTGTCATTTCAGGTGAATCGTTGTCAATGACAGAATTTCTCACTACCTATTCTCATTTTTCACCCTATGCGTAGGGGTTACATATTTTACCATATGGGGGTAGGGTGGGGGTCAAAATTCCCCTGAAAATCAATCACATTTCTATGAATTACCCCAAGCTTACCCCATCCCGTGATAGTGGCGAGCGTCCCGGCTGCAAGGTCTGATCCCGGCCGCGCTGTCGCAATGGGTTGAGCCCCTTCGCCCAAAGAAATAGGGGAGCTTAACTACATTATTTTATAAAATTTCCAAATTTACAGTTAAAAATTTAATGCACAGAATTTAGGAAATCTACCTCAACGAATGCAACGTCGTTATCACTATTTCTGTGGTCGTACGAGGCGTGGTTATGAATACGAGAGACCTTCAAAACTTGACCACCATCCGTTCGATAAGTGCTGCCCACACGGACGCTGAGTGCAGATGCGGACTGTCCCACGGTGCAATGTCTGAAAAAAGTTCAGAAAAATAGCCTCGTTGCCCTCAAAATTGGGGCACAAACCATGTTCAACCTGGATTATTTTTTGTCGAAGTGCATAAGTTTGTTAGATCAACCCTGTACAAATAAACAATATTGGATGCACAAAATTATGCAAATCCGCGGAAACGCTCAGTTTTCGAGCTGAGTTTTTACCTTGCCGTAACTTTTCTCGTACTGAATCCTCGAAATTGTTGCACCCGGAAATCGCCAATTTTTTTCATGTGCCCAATTTGCACTAAATGTTGTTTCTAAGTGACAGCGTCAAAAAATAATCCGGGTTGTACAAGGTTTGCTTGCCATGCTTTCCACTTACGCGGCGGTACCAACACGGGTCGCTGATAGGATGAAGCCGCCACAAATAAAGCTGCCATAATACAAAAGTTGAGCCTGGTACGGGTACTTTTCTATGGTGGTGGGCTGTCCGCCAACAATCCTGTCCTGGTCGGGGTACCAGGGAGGATATCCGCTTGTCTACAAGACGTTGAAGAAAGGTTAATAAATTAACTCTTTGATTCGTAACGGAGATAATTATCTCAAAGATAATCGTAGTTTTTTTTAAGAAATGGCTGAATTCTGGAGGTGTACTAATATGGTCCTGAAAAACTTGCAGTTATTTTGCGGGAGGAACATAATTATCATTTCCGAGAAATTGGTATTAACCGAAGAGACGATTAACCTCTTGGCTACCAAAGTATACAAATTTGACTAATATTTTATTTTCCGTTGAGGACAAAACATTGTACACATATGCATTTATGTACTCCATACATAGATTACAGTAGCACAAAAATTTCTTAAAAAGGAGCAATTTTTTGATATTATGTGGAAAACTTAATTGTGCCAACCGATTTTAATTCCATATATGTACTTACATACCCTCTGAAATTTTGGAATTGTCCCTATAAAATTGTTAAGTTTTGAGCGTTTTCTTCCCAAATATTTGGGCGTTACGGAAACAACGCAATAAAAAATTTTGGATATCTTTTTCCGATTTTATTAATCCTCCTTTACACCTTGACCCAAATTAATTCATTTTGTCCTAATTACCTCGTAATCATATGTAAAAGTTGATGGTTTATTAAGGAAAAACAAACCGATTTCAATTTAATTCTTACCGGGTAACCTGGATACTGGTTCGGATAATAGTTTGGGCTGGATGGCGGTATTTCCTGCTGTGGGCCGGGAAAAACTTGAGACTGCGGATAATACGTGCCCGCATAGTTCAGCAAGTTGACGCAATAATTAATCCGTCGCGCGCGACGCTCTTTTTGCCGCCACGTCTACAACAAATCGACCGGGAAATCTGACATTTATCTTAATTAATGGCGATGGACGTCTCCCATGGATGCGAGACGTCCATTGTCATTAATTAAAATCTGTGAGCATGCATATTATTATGTACTAGCGTATAAGCCCTTCTCCTGCCGGGCTTATTTGATTTTCGTAAAAATTAAGTACGATTGTTCATAAATAATTCCACCGAATTATTTTTTTATTGTATCTATATTATAAGCTGAAATTGTCTGGTGGTAAGGAAATCGAACTTTCTCCACTTTCACTTCCGTCAGGGAAAATTACTTTCACTTCCGGTGCAGACAAACATTTCCAGCTTATAATATAGATGTACATTTCATGGCCATGATATGTACATATGCATGCACACAGATTTTGAGAAAATTGGAGGAAAACGATCCAAGATTTAATTAGTATTTATGAAATTGGTTAGATTTATGAGATTTGAGAAGTTTATGAAAATTGCAGAAATTTGCATTCGTAGTGAACCCGTTTTGGGGGTGATACATATTTGCATTCCAAGAGAGAAAACGCGGCTTATCTACAGGGACAAATTTTACACTTTCGAAATTTATGTACATACGCATTGGCAGATCGTATCTTCTTTTCCCAACTTCATACTAATGAAATTTGTGCTCAATTTCCACTAATTTTGTAAAAATTTCTGCGCAGGGAGAATTGCATTGTGTGTGGATTACCAAATTTTTACTTTGGTCCAGATACGAAATTTGCGTTTCAGTGACATCACTCACGACGGATTTATCCTGATCCACCTGAGCCAACGACGTGAAATGCTGGCTGAGTCCAAGAGCCAAAATACCTTTAAATATCTGGAAAAACATGTTTGTTTTTTAATTTTAAATTTGGGAAGTAATTTCAATAAGTGCAGTTGAAAAGGAACGATTAAAGTCAAACTTGTGTACATAAACCATTTTCTTGTATTTCGTCCATGTCGTCGTATATACCTACTACTCACTTATTTAGATTAAAAAGGACCTACACATGTACATAACTGCACTGCATTCAGTGCTTAATTCCAAAAAGATCCAAACGCACAATACAAACTGAGTATGTAGTAAAAAGAATATTCTAAAAATATTCTAAAATTCAGTTTCATAATTAATAATTTTATTTACAGGTATGCGTTTTGGCAGCCGAGATCCATAATTTTTCTCACCTTGATGAACCAATTAAGACGCAAGTTTCAAAATTTCATAAGCTTTTTTTGCTCGGAGGTTTTCCTACTATTTACTTTTTACACAGTTGACAGTGTGCAATTCACTTTGTGCTCTTAGGTCGTTATAGAACTATGCATTGAATGCACTTCGGTCTTTACAAAATTAGGAAGATATTTACTACACGTCTGTTTGGTATGAAAATGTTCTATCTTATGTTTTACATATTTATCGCTCACCAAAAGTGGAATATTTCCCATAGTTGCTATAACAGTTATGAAATAAGTACGGATTCAAATACTTATTTTAAACGAGATCCATTCGAAAAAACTTTATTTTACGGGAAGACTAACACTGCGCTGGGATCAAATCAGACGTGAGTGAGTTCACTCCTCTCTGTAAGACTGAATAACAATTTGCCTAAAAAATGGTATGGAATGGTTACTGGCTGGGTGTCTATGCAGTTGTTTTATAGTAATAACCAGTCTTGAAAAGTAGATAGTGATGGCAATAGATAAATAAATAAATCTATCTATATCTATTTGATAGCTTGACTCGACCAGATTTTTTATAGTGTTGGTTTATGTATGTATGTATTTATTGATGTACATACCTGCAAATTTTTTTCATCCCGTGAAGCAGTGCACCAGATTCATGAATAAATCCGGTTAGTTTCTTATCTCCTCTGCTTCAAGATTTATGCATATGATCTGAAATAGAAGTTAATGACACTACAAGGTGTTAAACTTATCTATGAATACTTGCTTAAAAATCTGTAATAATTTACTACCAAAACCACAGTATTAAGTGTAAATATGTTGATAAACTAAATACCGTAAAACCTCTATTTATAGCCGGGGCTAAAATCCAAAACTGAGGGTCACGGACCCGGCTAAAATTAGGGACCGGCTATAATTAGAGACCCTGCTAAATTTTGTTCCGCCCAAAAATTTTAGATGTTACAAAATCAAATATAATTCATGCTGACTCAATTTGAGCTTTCGAATTTAGCAAGATAAGCCATAAGTAATCCATTCTCTTTTAACCTACATCTTGAAACGAAGTTTAGCAGGTTTTTTAAATTTTCTGTCATGATTATATCCATTATTAACCTGAAATTAATAGGAAAAAATTAGTAGTTCAACTTATTCGTTGATTGGCATAATGTGCAACATTTTTCTTTAATGGACTATGAACAGGGACACAGCGGACAAGGCAGCCCATAATTAGAGACCCGGCCATAATTGGGGACCCGGCTATAATTAGAGACCCGGCTAAAATTTGGAAATCTTGGTCTCTAGACCCGGCTATATTTGGAGACCGGCTATAATTAGAAGAGGGCTATAAATAGAGGTTTTAAGGTATGTATGTATGTAAATATGTAAAATATGTACACCATAGTACATGCATATGAAAACGATCACTTTGATGCCTTTATTTCCCACATCACGCGTTCAATTTTATAAGTCAGATAAAAATTTGAAAATAATAAATTTCGTAATCCAAGACAAAATTACGGTTTATTCAAAGATTTTTTCAAAACTATCGCTCAAAATGCAAACATCCACACCTACGAAAATAATTAGTCAGCTGGAGAGCACTTTCAGCCCCTGCACGTGCACACGTGAGCAAGCCCCATTGTTTCCAGGGAACATCCTGGCACAAAGGTGCACGAGTTGTCGAAGCTGCTCGAGATTGGCGCGTTGCACGTGGCACTCGGTGACGGTCCCGACCCTTCGCAATTAATGAAGGCTCCATACGATAAAAGACAACCATTCGCCATCATTGCGCAGAAGTCTGTACGAGTCGAAAACAAAAAAAAACAATTATGAAACTCTTAAAAATAAGGGTACCCTTTTGAAAAGTAAATCCATTTTGGATTCTAAATTAATTAAGTAAACTATACCAAACCCAGAGTAACCTCAACTCAATAAAGAGTATTGTTTGCTTGAGATTGAAGGCGCCAAAATTGAAAGAAGAGTACAATTTTTGAGTGCTATCAGTCTCGAAGGTCGATGGCTTGACATAAGTTTCGCGATTACTTACAATGGAACATTTTTTTTTAGCTACACCGGGATTGTCTGGCGAGTTATATTTTAAAATCAAGCCAAAAATCAGGAATCACGTGACGTCTATCTTTCCGTTGAATGGCCCTTTTGAAGAAAATTATTGGGGTTCAAAGCTGACATGTCCGCCTTAATTTTCGCCCAGCGTAATAATCGCCCAGCGCTTAATTTTCGTTGAAGAAAAAGCGAGAGAAAATTTACTAAAAAATGGGCTTTATCGCAAATATTTTTGTTAAAAGTGGTCATCCAACAGAATGATAAGCACCATGTGATTCCTAATTTTTCGCTAGATTTCTTCAAATAGCTCGTTAGACAATCCCGGTGTAGGTTGAAAAATGGGTCTATTGTTACATAATTGAGTTTTACCTGTAAGGTGAGAAATTGTTCGTAATTTTCCGATCACCTGAACCCGAACGAAATCACTGAAGGGGGATGCAGGTTGTCAAGTATGCAAAAATTGTGCGCTTCTTTTAATGCTCGCAGTACAGTGTAGTCTGCTTTATACAAAAAACTCACTTGACGGTACGGCACGCTGATTACCCCAAAACGCTTGTGGGGGTGTCGCCTTCCACGGGGGATATGGAGAACTGAAAAATTTATTGACATATCATAAACGGAAATTTGTAAATATTTAAGAGTAAAAATCCCCAAAACTGGAAATCCGCCCCCTTCCACCCCCTAGGGCAAGGGCGGAGTGGTATCAAATTAGTGGGACCGTTGCACTCACAAAAATCGGCCCAACAAAATGTACAATGTTTTTTTAAAGCTACACCGGGATCGTCTAGCTAGTTATATTTAAAAAATCAAGCCAAAAATTAGGTATCACATCACGCTAAACGTTCCGTTGAGATAAAAAACAATTTTTTTGCAACATTTCTCTCGTTTTTTTCTCCACGGGGCGAAAACCAGATCGGATTTGGGAACTCTGCCCCAAATATTTTTCTTCAAAATGGTTCATTCAACGGAAACATAAATGCCATGTGATGCCTAATTTTCGGCTTGATTTTTTGACATAACTCAAAGTATAGCTTGAAAAATGGTTCCATTGTGTGAACGCTGGACTAAAAAATGCACTTACCACCCGCCATAAATAATGAAGGGCCATCTCTGTTGGCGGGAGGTGCGTGTCGTCCCACTTTCTATGTTCTGCCTCTTTTCAATAGGCGCGGCGACGAGGTCATTGTTTGACTAAAAAGGTTCGCAAAAAAAAGTATTTTTATGCAATCTAAATAATTTGGAGACGTATTTTCACCCAAGGACCTATTACGTATAATGCTCTAATTTTGGTTGATGATTAACAAGACGTATTTTCACCAAGGGAAAGTACATGCTTAAAATCATGTTCCAAATACTCGTAACGTTTATTGCTTAACAAAATTAGCATCTTTATCTGTACATAAGATTTTTTGAGAACAAAATTTAAACTATTTTTTAAAACTAAGCCACGTATGTTTGGTACAGAAATTTTTAAATTATTTCCCACCAGTGACAAAATGACGCCTTAATCATTACCCAAAATTAGAGCACTACAGTTCCACAGTGGGTGACGATTTATCCCCAAATTATTTAAAGTGCACAGCAAAATCTTATTCAACTCATTTGAATATTCGTCATAACATAAATAAGCATTTGTACATATACATTTACCATGTGCTCCTTATTTTCCACTTTTAAATGAGCTCCGCTACAAGTCTGCAAAAATCCCAAGGCCAAAACCACCTGACAATTTTTAAGCAGCAAATTACTCATTTTTTAATCACAAATTAAAATAAAATGTACTAAATTATACACATATATGTAGTAATTGTGTATGTAGGGTTTATGTAATTCAAATTTATGAAAATGTTGAACAAAAACGTTTCAAAAATTGAACATAAACTAATCTAAATGTGTAAATATGCACTAAATAGATAAATATTTACGTACTTACCAGACACAAATTTTCCTCTTTACACTTCATGACAATTCCTAAACTGTACTTTATCACGCTCTCATTTTACAAGTGATGAAATATTGTCAGTTTCTCGTTCCCTTTTATACTCAATGAAAAGCTGACTGGCAAGTACATACATATGTACATAAACCCATCCACACAAATTTGCATATATGAATAAGTAATTAAGATGATCGGGAATGGTTTTTAATTTACTATTGCACAATAGTCGCTTGTTTGTCGAATCGATTTATTATGATAAAATAAAATCAAGTTCAACCCTTTGAAATGAAGTCATGATCCGGGCCACCAGTTTTTTTTACTGTATGCTACACTCTTAAAAATCTGGGGTTAATCTTGTCAACTGACATTGTGTATATACTACTTCACCAACATGCTTTTCACCACATGGTGATAAATTGTGACAAATTGTCCCTGGCTGGTTTTAATTTTCTCACCAAGCACTATATACTTACTTATCACCCCGCGGTGGATTCACGTGCATATATTAACACCGGATTTTTAAGTGTTTTTTCAATTTGTGTGGGTTAATGTGGCTTCAGAAATGTTGTCATTAATTAAGCATAAATTTGCAGATAACCCCTTCTTGTACCTAACTCATGTTAAGTACACGAGTAAGATAACCGACCCACCTTTTTGATGACGTGAATATGGACGGTCCCTCCACCAATTTTTGTAAACTCGCTGTAACCCGTCCAATCTGTACTTGTCAGTCGACTACCCCAATCTGCATACCGGCCCGCTCATCAAATGCAACTTTGTGTTGCATGCATTTTATGGCAACATTTTTACATAATGCATACCGTTTTAGCGAACTTTAAACACAGAAATTGGACTATGTAAAAGACTTGAATACCCCGTTACAATCTGGTAGAGCCACACGGATATTTATTTCTCTGGATTTAAAATGCTACCGAGTGGTACTTATATGTATGAATACCCATTTTGCTGAATGTGCTTCCTGTAAGTTCAACTTATGTGGGTAAAAATGTGCAAAAGTATGGTGTGTTTTTTAAAAGGAAAGTACAGCCCGCAATAAGTTTTACATGTAAAAAAGTACTCTTATTTTAACCTTCACACCATAATTTGCAACAGAAATATATTTTAAAGAGATATGTAACCGACTCAAGTATTCCCGGTCAACACTTTAATCTGCATATGTACCTCTGGTTTATTTTTTATTAAATTTGCACTCAATCAACACTCCAAATTCAAACTACATTGTGAGCAATAATACTCAAAATTATAACTTTGATGAGATTATCTTCTGGTCAGCACTACTTTGAACACGCTCAGCTATTGCAGGAACACACGTGCAGGTCCAAAATCATGTCAATGGAACAATCCGGCATACTTCGGCAAACGCTATCGAATGCACCCGAGTTTGGTGAGAAGCAATTTGCAGAGGGCGATGATCCTGCCACGCAGAAAATCATGGAACCTTGTGCGCCTGCGCAAGCATCCTCCAGCCGCTGACAGAAATCTGTCCGAGTCACACAACAAATTAAACTTTGTGTTTTCATTCCCAGAACTAAATTTGATTATCCAGCTTTTTATATAATACAATCCAACTGGATTTTGATTGATCAGATCCATAATAGGATTTGGGTGGAAATTTTTTGGATTTGGAGAAATCGCGACTGAATTTTTTTGAGTATTTAGATGGGATTTGAATAGGTCATGTAAAAAAAATTGCGGCACTAAATGCCACTGCAGATGGCGATGCTTAAGCAGGAGACTAAATCCTGCATGATGATGCTACCCTTCGATTTCTATTTATAGATATTTCATGGATTTTTGATATGTATATAATAATAATATAATAATAATAATAATATTTATTCAATGAATAATTCTTACAAGGCTCATGGCCCATAGAATTACAAGTTAATTCTCAGCATGATTTAACAATATAACAGGTTACATTGTATCAACTACAAATTCCAAACGAACAATTTACGACATAACATCATAACAGCAGTATAACGAGTTGCATTTTATCAATTGCAAATTTCCAACTACTCATGTAAAGGTCGAAGCATTATAACAGAAAATTGATTCATCATGTAACTTCAAACTTGGTACTGGTAAAAGGCTCTACTTTTGCAGCGTAATATTACAAACCTCTTTATAGCAAATAACTTTTTCGAGCCGCCGTACCTGTTCTAAATTAACATGCTAAACAACAACAAAATTCTGTGACACGGTGTCCCAATCTGCTTCAAGTCTGACCAAAGTTCTATATAACGACATGACAAAATAACATATCACTACAATAACAGTATACAGAGCGTGAATCAAGATACAAAACTCACTTTTATTTTTGATATAACATTTGTTAGAGAGACCTGGGATTATTGGAATGTGTTGTACCCAGATAGTCAAGGAACAGTTCGCAAAACAACTTTTAGTTCTGTGCATCAACATGCCCCCACTCCCCCCCACGGAGTGCGAGGTAGCCGTATTAGAGTTTTCCAAAGATAAATTGTACCATAAAAAATTGTTAAGAAACTGGCGACAACTGAATTCAAGTGCCAGTCAAAGCCATGTTTCCAGTGTATTGAATGGAACTGCCATGAAGAGGCAGGGATCATTGGCTAGGGTTCCACCTCCACCAAAGTGGCGTCCAAGATCAGCCAGAATCGAGGATGAGTTGTACTATATTGCAAATTCTAGCAATAAGGAAAATCCGTGAGCCCAGAAAAGTACGCAAAATGTTGGGGCTGAGTCAGGCAATAGTTTTTACGATCATTCAATTTGACCTAAATAGATTAGCGCGGAGGAGGACCTTGTGTACGCCCCCAAGCCGTCTTACATCAAGTTTTTCGAAGCAACTTCGTGATAACTGTTTGAAAACTTATTTTCCCGAAATAAATTTTTAACTGCAATTACTCTTGACGAGTCGAATGACATTATTCAGATAGATGATTTTGGTTTTTATTACTTGAAGCAGAGATTTTAAAGCGGACGGCTTGGGCGCTAAGTGGGTTTTGGAAAACTTTTCAAAACGAGTGGAACAAAATCACTCCAAAAAAGTGTTAAACGTGATACTAGCGTACAAAAAGCGATTGCACCTCGTTAGACAAACTAATGGGCTACACATTGAAGCAATTTACAAAATTCACAAACGAGGAATAAAGCTGTAGAAAAATAAATAAAAGTGAGTTTTGTATCTTGATTAACTCTCTGTACAGTTACAAGATCTTAATATGTTATAACATTACAACATAATATATATAACGTAACCGGAGACGTGTGCTTTAATAATAACCAATGCGAAGTTCCTCAGCGATGAGACGTGGTGGTGCTAGGTTGCTGAGACGTGTGCGAGACGTGGTGGTGTGAGGTTGCTCTCTCCGAGACTCTCTTAGACTACACTCATAAGTGGGCATATTTAATTAATTACGAAATAATCAATTACTTGAAACTGATAATTTTGTCTTGTTAATTACGTATTAAGAAATTACTGTTTGTGATATCTGAACGTTTCAACCGGTTTGTTTTAATCATTGTATCAAAATTTGGACTCGAAATATTACATTTAAGCTGGTGAGAAATTTATCCCATCTCAAGTTGAGTATGTACATACGTAGTTTGTATTTGTAATGGAATTTATTGTATTGTGAAAAATGTGTAATACAAATACGTCGTGTCACTTAAATCTGCCCTGGCTGCCGTCCTGCAAAACTGCTGAGGATTTTTTGGGTGTGGTGGGGATGGGGACGCCCTGCCTACCACATCTCGTCGACCTTGAGGGGACGCCCAAAGGGTCACCCGCTGGGAACCATCGGGTCTCTGGGGACGCCTGGTCGCACCCATGGAACCTGGCATTCATAATTGCTGCAGGGAGCTGGGGGTGGAACATTCTTGCTGTCGTCACTATATTGGGATTCTGCTCTCGCCATGTCTGGAATGTGCTGACACCGCCTGGACTTACGCCCTCCATTGTATACCTAACTTACTTGAATATGTATTTTTGCAAAGAGCGATTACACTTGACATTATGATATGTATATAAACGACTTTACAAAAAATAGTAGGAAAATCATAGATAAAAAATTTGAATAATTACATTTAATTCTAACGACCAATTAGCTCACCTTTCGGAATGGCGCGCGTGTTCCAAAAGGGTAGCCCGCCTTGAAGAGGTGTCACCGGCCGTGTAGGATATTGGGAACTGGATAAAACAGCATTTACATACTTAATAACATGAAACTTAATAACTGAAAATATTTAAAATGTCACTACGAAAAATTTCAGCCTTATTGTAGGCATGACATGAGACGTCCATAAATTATGGCACGCTTGAGTGGCTGGGAGGGTAAAAGTCTTACGCTACAGCCCCATTTGCGCCAGATTTTAAAATATCGGGTATTTGTAACACATGGTAGGAGAGACAGAAAAGTCTGGATTTCTGTTTGACATAATTTATGGACGTCCCCTAACTACTATATAACATAAATATACCCAACAATTATTATAAGTAATGAATCGTTTCCATACATACGTCGGCTGAAAAAATTCATTACTGACCCTGTAAGTTTACCCTATGAGTGTTAAGCTTCGCGTGAATAGCGGATTACCCCATGTTTTAAAAGGCAATCACATTGGAAATCCTTCATTTTAACTTCACTTGTTTGATAATATTGATATACAGTCAATGGAACAAGTATAGGCACCACCCACGCAAGCTAAATAAAAATGGTTATAACTTTGGCATGCATTATCAAATTAACATGAAACTTTGTACGCATTTAACAAATCTAATGTAGTGTTCGATTATAATCATGTTTTAATGATTAAAATTAGATAAACAAAGTTTTTAAATAATTTGCTGGAAAATTTTCAAAATTAGCCCGCAAAAAGTATTGGCACCCTCTAACTTATAAAATCATAAATCAAAGAATTACCTATTTTATGGCGTCACACTGCTTTTAATATTATGTGGCACCTCCCCTCGACGCAATATGAGCATAAATAGGCCCTGGAATGGATTCCACAAGTTTTTTTTATAACGCTTCTCTATATGGCTGCCCACGTTTCTTTCGAACTTTTCATAAGGTCGTTTTTCGACGAGTGGTTTCCCACCAGTCCCT